TCAGTCCTGATGTATTGAAGGGTTCTACAAACTAGTTTAGTCATTAAACATACCACTGCATATTTTTTCAATTATAAAACAATAGACATAATCTTAGACATCGGATAAGTGATTTATTTGAGCACTAGAAAAATACAATAATAATAATTTAAGTAATACAAAGAAATAAGAAAGAAAAAAAATAACTATGTATGCCAATTACATCCTGTGATTGCCGAACATACAGCATTCACACTGATAGACGCTCATACAGTCAGTAATCACATGCTGATGGCTGGTTATACAGATGGTAATCATACAGATGCGCCATATAGTCAATAATCACACTCTATTCATATAGACCACATTCACACTGTTAGCTGTCATACACACAGTAATCACATGCTGATTATCAGTCATACAGATGGTAATCATGCAGATACAGCCACATTCCCCACAAAACACACACATATGAAAAGTATTATTTGTTCAAAAAGCCGATCGCTAAGTTACACCCCCGTCAGATGACGCGTCACGAGCCGTCACGAGCCATCACGAGAGAGCGCCAGAATTCAAATAAACAATATTCCTCGTATCTTTGACTTTTTTTTAGTGGATGGTGTCATTCTGTTTGTGACACTGTATGCTACAAAACCATGTTGTTTTTTACTACCAAGATGCAGTTTTTTGAGCGCAAGTTATTCCAAAATGGATACAAACAATAATGCTCCCGAAGCAATGAGATGTAAACAAAGAATTACCATCCATATTACAATGTTATTGCTTCGTTGGACTAAAAGTGCTCTATGCGATGTCGTTCAGTGGACCCTTACCTTTCTAACTAAACCGGGATTTACAGCTGTGGATGCGTTTGTGACTCGTTATTACGATGAATCTGGTATGTACTGCATTTTGGTGATGCATGTTATGATGTGTACTGCTTACAAAAATTTAGCAAATAAATTTTTTATAAGCTTTCCATTGAAAAACAGCGATCTATCGTCAATGCTTGAGGCATAGATCTTTAGAATGATATATAGTTTGTCAAGATATACAGCAAGTCATCATTGCCACGTGCAAACAAAAAACGTTCAGTGCGCCGGCATCCAGGTGCGGGTTAACAGGTTAAAGCAAGAAATAAAGCAACTCCTAGAGAAGGGTCCCATCGAACCGGTAAATTGGTCGGAACGGCTCGGTGGGTTCTACTCAACATACTTCATAATTAAAAAAAAGACAGCGGGGTAAGGCCTATACTAGATCTTCGCTCCCTCAACAAGTTTCTGAAGATACTTCCATTTCGAATGTTGCGCGTGACCGATGTTCTCCACACAGTCAGGCAACAGCACTGGTTCACCACAATGGACTTAAAGGATGCTTACTTCCATGTTCCAATTGCTCCACAGCACAGGCCATTTCTCCGCTTTGCATTCCAGGATCAAGTCTATCAGTTCTGAGTACTTCCATTCGGTCTATCCCCACGAGTCTTCACTAGGTGTATGGCAGCAGCGTTGGCTCCAATACAGTCCAAAGGGCTTCAGGTACTTCCGTACCTGGACGACTGGCTACTTTGCTGTCACTCTCGGGAGCAGGCAAGGGTGGAAATCACACAGCTGCTCTCCCATATTGCCCGGCTGGGCCTGGCTGTGAATTTCGGCAAGAGTCAGTTAATTCCAACTCAAGTTCATAGGTGTTATCCTGGACTCATAATTAATGATAGCTTTGCCATCAGAACAGCGGGTGAACAGTATTCTGCGGCTCCTCCAGTGGTTTCAAATGCAGACCAGGCTACCGTTCAGGTATTTCCTCAGACTCATAGGTATGCTGGCAGCAGCAGCTACGGTAATACCATTGGGTCTCCTTTCGCTTTGTCCCTTCCAGAGATGGGTGAACAGTCTTCATCTGAATCCCACTCGGCCCAGGAACAAGTTGATCAAAGTTACACAGCAATGCCTTCTCACACTGAAACCATGGAGGAGGGGGTCATATCTGACCAAAGGAGTTGCTCTGGACAGGATTCCCTGAAGTAATCTCATGGCCACTGAAGATTTTCGGCAATCAGACCAGCTTTTTCTCTGCTTTGGTGAGCAGAAAAAAGGTCAACCCCTCTCAAAGCAGAGATTGTCACATTGGGTAGGGGAGGTTATCACCCATGCTTACAAGTCTACTGGTTGTCCATTGCCATTGGGAGTGAGATGTCATTCAACAAGAAGCATTTCAACGTCTTGGGCGGCACTAAAAGGTGTCCCCCTAAGTGACATCTGTGCGGCAGCTACATGGTCATCTACGAACACATTTTCCCGATATTACAGGATTAATGTGGCTGCATTGGATACTTTTGAAACAGCTGTCCTGTTGGCACCCTCAACTTCTTAGAGGTAAACAGGCCCTCCTCGTGACCTTGTGGTTATAAGTCATCCAGTGTGAAGCACTCCCTCTGGCGGTCAGAAAGAATGAAATAGAACGAGAGTTACAAATGTAACTGCGGTTCTATGAGTTCTGGATGACCGCCAGAGCTTTGTCACTTGGAGTCAGGGCGAGAAGATTCTGTAGGGACAGTCTGCAGGAAGTCACAGGGTTAAATAGGGGAGGACCCCAAGTCATCCTGGTCACGAGGGACTTTGTTTGTATTAGACTCGAACTGTGCATCTGCGATGAAGATAACATTCAGCGTGAAGCACTGCCTCTGGCGGTCATCCAGAACTCATAGAACCACAGTTACATTCGTAACTCTTGTTTCCTGCTGAACACGACTCCAGCTCGGGCACGAGAACCAGCGCCGTTACGGTGGAAACAGAATAACAGAGACTGGTCGATTACACGTGAATTACTTCTGTTTAATGTTTAATTTTTACTTCTACTGTTTGTTAAATAAGTTTAAATAGGTATAATGTATAGCCTACATAAAAATGATATAAACAATGTTGTAAATGATAAATAAAGGAAAATAAAGGAAGTTATCATGCAGTGGTTGTGTGGAGTATTTTACTAAAGTTTTGAGGATTAAAGTTAATCTGTAAACATTATTTCATGTAGCCTATAAAATAAAAAAATAAGCTAGTATTATAGTAAAAACGAATTGGCTCATTTGCTGGGTTAAATCAACCTGTTATGATGGGTTAAATAAACAACCCAATTTGCTGGGTAAAATTAACCCCAAACGTGTTTTGTCCTATATTTACCCAGCCTTTACCCAGTGTTTTTAGAGTGTAAGTAGTGCCACTTTTGAAAAATGTTTTCATGAAGCTTTGAAACCTTTACAAATCTTTTGAATCAGTGGTTCAGACTGTGTATCAAACTGCCAAAGTCAGGTGATTTCAGTAAACGAGGCTTCGTTATGTCATAACTGTTCCGAAATGTTTGGACATTTCAATGAATCGACACCGGGGGGGCGATGATCTCGGAATAAATTAATCATGTGCCTTCACTGAGATGAACGACTGTACAAGTGTCTATAGTTCTTACCTGATCTTGGATCAGTTTTATAAATGTATAGTTGTTTTAAAGAGATATTTGAATAATTAAAATTAATAATAGTACTTAATAGTGTCCTATTGGCCTGTTTAATTGAGCCGTCTATAAAACAAACAAAATAAACCCAACAATTCAATTAAATAACAGACACAATATTTAATTGCATTAGATGATTAGTTAATTGCATTTGATAGATTATACTTTCAATAAAACAGCTGGAATTGATTTGTAAAAGCTGTTTAAACACATGTTTGGCCTGTGTTTTTGTTGCATAAAATTACTTTACAGCACGGAAGATATGTAACAGTTTACTGGAACTATTAAAATGTGTTGACAAATGCAAATGTCTATTCTTGATGTAAAACTGCTCATTTTTAATATCAATAATTCGGTTTTCACTAGTGACAATTTCTGATATCTGTAATGTTACTAGTAAGAAAGCCATTTTAGATTTTTTAGATCAAATTTATTGATCTCTGATATCCATTACCAGAGATGCCATATTAAACGTTGAAATCCATCCGCATAGGCCTATATCAAGAAGTTGCATTTCAACTATACTGAAAATTAAATTCTTGATAACAGGAATTTATATTTCTACAAGTGACAAAGTAATAATAATAATTATTATTATTATTATAACTAGTAAGAAATTAATTATTGATATCTGTAATTGAATTTCAATGGCAGATTCTTGTGATATTTCATATTTACACAGTTTTTGATATCAAGAAGTAATACTTTTAATAGTGGATTTTAAGTGGATATCAAAATTATCCATTATTACTAGTAGAATTCAATTTCTGATTTCAAGAATTAGCATTTTAGCTTGTGAAAATTTAATTAAAAGTCAAAAAGGGTTTCCATAAGCACTTATTCGTTTTGTTACACTGCCATCCGAAGGTTATTCACATCATTGCAACCAAAATATGACTACATACATTACCAAAGAATAGAGCACACCTACACAAAAAAGGCCACTTCTTTTTACGAATAGCCCAATAAAGTCTCACCAACATAAAAATTGTATTCAATTATAACTGAATGCATCTTCAATTATTATATCAAAGATTACATTTATTTAAAAATTAAGCACTTCTGACCTTCTAATCACAGTTCGCTGTCACCAGAGAATTAAAAAAAAAAAAAAACGAAAAAAAAGTACAGTACAGTAAGTGTTGCACTACTTGTCCAGATTGGAGTGCTAAACGTTTTACATTTTACCTTTCGAATTAGGCATCTTCGACAGCTTTTTTTCTCTCGGTCCTTTAAATTCCCCGTTCATCCGCTGGTATTATGCTGATAAATCGGATTTATCAGTGTCACGATTTGCGCAATAAAATGGATCTCTGCCAAAAACACGCAACCGTTACAACAGAACAAGCACTATAAACTATGACTTGATTCAGCTAACCAAGCCTTAACGCAAGATCCCGAGTGAGAGTAAAAGCGAAAGTGAGGATCTTTATTTATATCTTCAGTCACGAAGCTCCTCCTCTCCTCATATCTGCGTTCATGCAGTCGCCCATTTCATAAACGAAGCAGCGCAGTTTTCATTTCTCACAGTTATACTTCAAACCTCTGCTGTGCGAAAATGGTCTTTCAGGTGCTCATTTGTTTCAATAAAAATAATAAACCGCTTCTAGTGGCAGAAGATGAGACCACCTTTCAAAACACCACTATTTTGGATCTGAAGAAGAAATTAAAAATAAAGATCCCTGGCGCACCAGGTAGGTTAAACTCGAGTTATTTTTATATTTTGAATTTAAATTGTAAGAAAGATATTATCTAAAACACACGACATTTGAGCATTTCAACTGCTTAAATATAGCTACGTTTTGAAACGTACAACCTCTATGGATATTGCTATATTAGCTACATTTCCCATTTTATTTATATAGATCCAGACGATGTCAGGGTTATCTTCGGAAAATACCCTTTGGAGGACAACCGGACACTTTCTCATTACAACATTAAGCATTTATCCTTACTTTTAATTGTTTTGAAGATGCCTGGTGGAGGTAGGACTTCTTACAACACTGATGCCAATTATAATTAGGCTATATACCATTTTAAGACTTTTTAAAGTTTTCAAAAGGTTTCTATTCCAAATATTTGTTTTCAAAGAATCATAAAAAAAAGTATTATGGTTTGCACAAAAATATTAAGTAGCACAAAAGTTGTCAACATTGATGATACTCTTGCTAATGCTGTTTGTCTCTCTCCTAGATGTGTGTTCATGCAAACATGGATCTTGAAAACACTCTGGACTGAAAGGTCTTCTGACTTTGAAGTCGTCTGATGCTATATACTGTATATTAGTGATGATTTACTCCCTCCGATGTGATTTAATTGTAAATGAATTGTTTATACTCTAGACAGTTCCTTCAAAATGTACCAGAAAGCAATGCTTAATTTAGAAAAAGTATTTTGTACAGTGGTAATGCATTGCATGACATGGGTTGTGATTTGTACATACTAATGAACTGGAACGCTCGTAACTTAAGAACATTTTAAGATAATAATGAACATGGAACATAAAATGTCCTCTGAAAGTTTCATTTAAATGAAGAGGAATGCAGCAGCAGTGCAATAAGTGATGTTTTATTAACAAGTTTCGGGAGGAGCGCGCGCAGATAATTAACACGGCCAGTTCATCATCAGTAATTACACCATCTATCCAATCAGCACAAGAGAGAACCTCTATAAATAATCAAAGCAGCCTTACCTCCATTATCTCCTGTCTTTAGCATCCCTCCACCACCCCGACTCCTCACCTTCAGCCCGTTCCTACCCCAGCACGGGGAGGAACACTCGGGGGGAGCATTCTGGGTCCGGGCTTAATCCCGAGCTCGGAGCCCTCTCCCCGGACAGCACGCCAAATACGCATAACCTTTACTCGGTTCATTATATGTAAGTGTGAACTCGTGAAATAAATAAATAGTCACATGTAGGCCTATATTTGTTTCGGTTTTGTTCTCAGTACAGTTCCTAGGTTCCTGTGGTTGATCTGACCTAGTTTACTTTGTTCCATTTTCCCTCCACTGCTTAGTTTCCATAGTTACTTATTAGTTTAATCACATCTGTAATTATGTTAGTTACTCTCCCTGTGTATTTAAATGTAAAGTTTCTTCACTTCAGTGTTCAGCCTCGTCGATGTTGAATGTGTGTAGATTGGTTCTTTATCTGTATGTATTAAAGCCCTTTTTGAATTTACTCTTTGTGTTGCTCTTTGATTCATACTATTTCAGTGTATTATGACATACATAAATACAAAAGAAGCAGTAAAAACTGGAATAAATCAAATTCATGAGACACATCAGCTTGTTGTGCTGCATTTTCTTCTCAGTCAGCACTGAAGGTAGGCATATGTCATGAGCTGAGACTGTGCATTTACTCAAGACACAAAAGAAATGCTAGCTCACAGGGACCTGGTTTCATGACGGCCCTGCAAGGGTTTGTCTGTGTTTCAAAATAACATTATTTAACTTCTAACTATTTAACTTTTCTGAGAATGTCCTAGTTTTTTTTCTAGTTTTGGAAGCATGTGCACAAATGTTCAGTAATGTTTGCCCTCAAATAAACAGCTACACTGGGTCTAAAACACACACACACACACAATGGGGACTTTGCAAAAACCCCTACTGTTTTTAAATACAGCTAGTTATAAATACTATAGCCTAAGACTAACCCAACAACTAACCCTAACAGAAAACTTGTTTTACAATAAAAAAAAGAAAAAAAAGGATAAATAAGGATGTCCCTAAAGTAGGTTTTGTCCAGTTTAAAACACGCTAATTCTGTTGTGCATCTGTTTACACAGGGGTGATGTTTACAGACTGTATGGTACTTCACATTCATGTCACCTTATCAGTTGAAAAGTCATCTCACAGTAAACAACATTTTGCTCAGGGGATTTAGGGGAAATTTTGCTCAGTCTTTTGTTTCAGTTTCTGTTTCTCAGAAGAGAAGGTATTTATGCTAAAGGCTTATTGCAGTTCCTGCAAACAGATGATTCCGCACTTTGTACGTTAATGTAGGACAGACACGCCCTGTTTGTTCATGTTTAAAATAGTTTCATTTTCTCCAACAAGAGGCTCTTCTTGTAAATCAGATGATTCCTAAGGCAAAACCAGCTTCTCTTCTCTATTCTATTGCAAAGGGGAAAGCTGTGCTCTGAGACTATGTTGATCCATGTCGTTTACACTGATTAATATAAGTGACATACTATGTGCATGCAAATCAATCATAAATCCAAAGTATAAGTCAAAATGATTTATGAAAGCCAGAAGTGGCACTAAATGAAGAGCCCTTTGGGAGCCAGAAGAGCTAAATGATTCGGCTCCCAAAAAGAACCAGAATTTGCATCACTAGTTGATAGGATAACTATGAAGTACAAGAAACTGAACGACTTGATATCATCATTTTATGTCATCATGTCACATTTTTAGTGAGCAATCAGCTTGGTGAAACTAAAAGTATATCTCTATGTATGCATTAATCATGACACATGCAGTGTTTACTGAGCTTTGATGAATGACGACCCAAAAATAATGTAACTGTGTCACCTCATTTCAGTGCACCACTGCACACCAGTCCTATTCACCATGATGCCAGTTTTCCTTTTACATACTCTGGCAATATAACCAGGTCAGTCCTTGTAGGCCATTCTAGCCATTATCAGGATTGTCATGCTGAATTATGATATTTGCTGTATCGCTAAATGATAAGAGACAACACTGGGACTGAGTAACATGTTGTTCCAAATAACACCATGCTGTATTGTAGGACATGCCCTGTACAAACACACTTTCATTTTCTTCAAAAAGGAAATCTTCTTGTAAATCATGTGATTTTTCAATGCAAATCAGCTCTGCTTCTGTAACAGTGTATCTTTACTGCAAAGAGAACAAGTTTAATCTAAAATGATTATGGTGTAGAGGGCCTGTGATCCATCTAGTCAGCCTATAGTTCAAATAATCTAATAAAAGTTATTAGGCTCATTAAATGCATTGCAAAATAGATTTGGATTGAAACTAGCACACTCAAACACCTTAATATGACATTTTATCTGAAGACGATTATTATATTGTTTTCATTTGTTGACATTTACATTAAACTGTACATGATTAAGGCCAGTTTTTATCCTCAGCTGACACTTTTTTCTTGGGTCATTCACAAGGACAGTTTTTTTTAATGGCAAGCACATATTTTGAATTAAATATGAAAATATTGGATCTAATCAAATTACTTTTCCTGTAGAAACTGTATCAGTAAAAACGTTTTTACAAAAAAATCTTAATTTTATTCCCCCAGATTATTGAATATTAGGGTACCAATACAACCCAATGTAAGGACCCACCCGCCAGCCCAAAAAGCGGAATCCAGCGGCCTGGTCGAAGGTTTAATGCGTATTCAGTCTTTTACTTGCGCTTCTGAATTTATCAGGACTTAGTTTCCATTTTGTCTAGCTCCGTTTTCAATCTGACTCCAATTTCACGTGATCATTAAATTTAGGCAATATTTCTAATCAAAAGCTGATCACAGATATCGATTGTTTATTAATTTAGATATTTGAGTATTCTGTAAATCCCATACTTTCAATTATTCGTTCATCAGGGACCCAATGCCGCTCAGAGATACGCGCCCCGGGTTTGCGGTAAACTCACGGACGCAAACTAGCCAGTCTGATATTAGTCAGAGGGTGTAATAAGTTAACTAATACCTTTTTGTCGGTTGCCTACTGCTCACTCATACAAAAAGTGTACTTGATTTAGCCACTTCCATACATCTTGCTAAGTCAGTGATAGACAGAAATCAAAAGGTCTTCAGATGAAGTGCCTACTGCTCCTTTCATTCATGCGCCTTTAGTTTGTACTATCCTGGACACAGATTTACGGTAGCATTAGCCTCCTATGATTTACTGGTCATAATTAATTCAAGAAAAGTTCAGAATAAATCAAATATAACAATTTATTATTAGTCAGGTAAAATTGTATCATGCCAATTACATAATGAAACAATTAGAAGCCAATTTAGAAAGGATAATGCAATTGTGAAACATATTGTATCCGCGTGGCAACATGTAAATAGCCAAGTGTTCCATGCAGGAGACAAACGAATTTGACATAGTCACACATGTAACAGTTATCCTAATTTAACACAAGACACATGGTCTAAAATGCATAGCATCAACAACCTTTTACCTAAGTATTTCAAAGAACACTTACAGCAAAGTAATCAAGTGTTTTTAAACTAGCCTATGTGCACATGTAGTAGCACAAACAACTATACTATGGGCACAATGTGTTTAACACAATTACATTTTTGAATCGTACCTGACAGCAGAGAGACACACAGCAGTGAGAGTTCTGGTGCAGAGCTCCAGAGACTCTCACACACTGCATGGGGGTTTTTCTGACTACAGAATCCCAAAGACTGATTTGCAACATTCCCTTAAATACTACCAGAACAAAAACAAAGACATCTTTAAATCAGTTGTTCCCGTGCTCCAGGGTTGCACCTGGCTGGAGCTAGATAAACATTCCCACAGGCCTAAAGGGGGACACACACCCTCCTCAGCAGAACATAATTCTACAAAGGTTTTAAATCTTTCTCATAATATAAATTACTACTGTGAAATTGAAACCAATTTACCAATCGCACAAAGACCTTTAAAATGACACCAAACATGAAAAGTTTACGATCATGAATCCTGAAGATATAGTAAATGTTTTATGTGAGCATATCTACTTGAGTTCTTGGCATTTCTCAGTCAACTTTTAGTGACCTGGACCATGTGCCCAGGGGGGAAGGATGGGTGAAGGGACTGAAGAGCAGATGGTCTTTCTTCCAGATCTTCCTATCTTGATCAAAGCCCATTGTTTCTGAATGTTTGGCTTTACGAGGAGATCAAAGCCCAGTGTTTTGTGGCATGGCATTTGCATTGCGAGATTGGAATAATGTGAAAATGTCTTAATTTAAATTGTTTATTTTAATGTGGTCATTTTATTTTGCTGCATGCACACTACATGATGAATCGGTGACGGGGGTCACACATTACACATTTAAATGGGAAGAATCGCCGACATCTCTGCCTGGTCAACAAACATTGTGTGTTTCACAGCCAAACACACTTGAGAAGCGGTACAGGATATAATGCAAGATCACACGTGAGAGAGGATTCATGCCTGTCAAAAATGGTAGCATGAAAGAAGCTTGTGATCCAAGTTGTCTGTTTGCTGAATTGCAGTGAAAAATAAATAAGAATATGAAGGAAATTCATGAAATTTACTCCCCCTGAACTTTCCCTTGTTACTGCAGATCTATAAAAAATGAGACTTTCTTTATCATAGATTGAGAATGTGAAGATCTGCATAAACACATACCTCGTATGTCTGCTGGAGTTCCAGGCTGCTGGACCATTATCAGTGTAGTGTCAGGCGTCTTCCCTACTGTTGTCTGTTGAACACTATTATCAGACATGATTTCAGGCTTTGCAGATGGGATATTGACTTCTTGAAGAGATGTCTGGTATTGACTGATCGTCATGATCAGCATCAACAAACTGCATTTCTGCATCTGGTGTCATGGTTTGTGGGGATTTGATTCTTTCTCAGTGCTGGAATCACTGGGGTTCAGAGGAGCCTCTATATCTTCTTCGCTGCTCACTGTAGACTCATGATTGTTTTCAGTGCCAGTACAGATGTGATCAATGTCCTGCTGTGGCAGATTGACAGAGTCTTCAGGGCTGCTGTTCCTTTTAGTCTGAAGACTTTCAGATTCGACTGATCTTGGGACTGATCTTTCTTGCTGAACATTCACTTTATGTCTGTGTTGCTTTGAAGCTGAAAACAAACAAGAATGTTAAAAAGATGTGTACACTGTACGCAGGCTGGTGGATTCTCATCAGGTCCGTGGAAAAGTGCAATATTTGGTCGACTGGGAGGGTTATGGCCCAGAGGAGCGCTCATGGGTGTCTGCTAGAGACATTCTGGACCTGACACTCATTACGTCTTTTCAGCGTACCCAAAGACTCTATCAAGAGAACGTCAGGAGCCATTCTTAGAGAGGGAACTCCTGTAAGAACTCATCACTGGACTGTTAATTGACTTCCTGGTCAACAGGTGGCACCTCTCTCCAGGTTCCTGCTGAACACTAACATTCATTAAGCCTTATGTGAGACACCTGTGGTTAGACCTATATAAGTGGGTTTGGGTCATGCTTTATCGTTCAGTCTTGAGCCAGTTCAGTCTATGTTACCAGTTGCCTGCTGAAAGTTAAGTCTGTATTGTTAAACTTCTTGGACTCTAGTTTCTGCTTTGCTTTTCACTGTTTTTTTAAAGCTCTGCTTCCTTTGTTTTTGTTGCACTTTTCTTCAGTAAAGATGGCCTTTTACTGGAGATTAACGACTCCTTGTTTTTTTTTTGCTACTTCTGCTTTTGGATTATTTAATTGGAGTAGCTCAATTAGTAAACTCAGTAACTTTGAACGTAAGAGACCTGGGTTCGATCCATGTTGCTAGTTTTCCCTATACACTTTTACTGATTATAGCAATATTACCAGGTCAGTCCTTGCAGGCCATTGTAGTTGTTATCAGCATTGTCAGGCAGAATTATGATTTTTACCTTATTGCTAAATGATTAGAGACAACACAGGGATGGAGTAAGATGTGCTGTTGCAAGTAATCACACGTTGTAAAGTATTGTAGGACACACCCTGTACAAACACACTTTCACTTTCTACAAAAGGAAACCCTTCTTGTAAATCAACAGGTGTTGTGCGTCGGTGATCAGTGGGGCAGCGGCGTTTCCAGGGCGACGCTAATCTGGACTCGGGATACTCGCCACATTCCCCCCCCCTAGGCGTCGCCCTGGTCCTGTGGGGAAACACACAACTCGTTGTGGGGGTATTACGTCCAGGGTGGCGTACCTGGTCTCCGCGGGGGAGAGTTTCCGGCTGATGTAGACTATGGGGTGTTCCTCTCCATCCCGGAGCTGGGAGAGGACTGCCCCTAAACCGGTGCCGGAGGCGTCCGTATATAAGGTGAAGGGGCAGCCGAAGTCTGGGGCATGCAGGACCGGGGAGTACGTCAGGGCCGTCTTGAGGGCCTGGAAGGCGGCTTCGGTCTCGGGAGTCCAGTCTATCTTCTCCGGCTGCCCCTTCTTGGTAAGGTCTGACAGGGAGCAGGCTATAGAGGAGAAGTTCGGAATGAAGCATCGGTAGTAGCCCGCCAACCCCAAAAAGGCCCGTACCTGGGTCTTGTTGGCGGGACGGGGGAACTCCTTTACCGCCTCGACCTTTTTGTCCTGGGGCATGATGCCCATGGGCGATAGGCCCACCCGGGCTAGGATTTCGGCTTTGAGCTCGTCATACTGTTCGTTCCGGGGTGCCCTCAGGGCATAATAGGCCCGCTGCGCTTCTCCGGTGAGGAAGGGATGATGCGAGCCCACTCTTCCTGGACCCACCCCTCCCGGGTCGCGATGACCTCAAACGTATGGAGGTAAGCCTCGATGTCGTCGTTCTCGGTCAACTGGCCGAGGTATTGGTGCGCTCTGACCGGCGCTTCCGGGAGGCCCCGCCACGCTGGCCTGCAGCTGTTCCACGACCCGGCCAGTATATTCCTGCCGGGCGGCCAGTCGCTCTGTAAACTGCTGCTGGCGGGCCGAGAGCTCCGTTAGGCGGCGGATGACCTCTTCCATGTGTCCGGGGGAAGAGAGCGGTTTCTCCTAGAAGAAGCACAGATATCGTTAAGGCCACCTGGCGGTACCCGTCTCTGTCTCAATTCACCTGTTCTGCCCGCATTCTCCACCATATGTCGCCGGGTGAATGAGAGCACAGACTCGGTACTGGTCGAAAGAGCCCCGGAGGGTGATTTATTTGCCCACACACACTGATCACACGTACCCTTGATGACTGGTGCTCGGTGCCCGTCTCAGAGTGGTGCTCGTGGGGTGAAGTGCCGTGGTGCAGATCCCTCTCCCTGGGTGCCTTCAGAGTCTGTGAAATAAGGAGAACAATCGTTAATCCTGCCTGGAGCTCTGGGGTGCTCTCCCGCTGGTGTCTCTTCTCCTGGCTTTTAAGGCCAGCGGGAACGAGCTCCAGGTGCGCCACTCATCGCGCACAGGTGTTGTGCGTCGGTGATCAGTGGGGAAGCGGCGTTTCCAGGGCGACGCTAATCTGGACTCGGGATACTCGCCACAATATATATAGCCTAAAATGATATAAAATGCATGTTTGTTTGTTTTTCAATAACGTTTTAATAATAGTAACTTTATTAGGACCATGGAAACTAAAATACACAAATATGCAACTTACCGTCAAAAATTGTGCAGGGCTTTTACTGTGAGGTTGATTTACAGGGGGATTCATTCTCTTCAGAGTTGTTTGTGGGTGTGTGAGAGAGAGAGAGAGAGAGAGAGAGAGAGAGAGAATGAGTGAGTGAAGAATAATGCACGGTGCTTATGTCGACCGTCTTTATGTGAATACACACCAGTGCAGGCATTTTGACTGTTTTAGGCGCGCCACTGAAGACAAAGTCTACTGCTTGTCCATATTCCACTCGAACCTCGCGCGCAGAAAACATCTAGTCAGAAGTGGATTGAGTTCTGTTTTGCGGCTTTGAGTTTGTAATGCTGTCTGTGTTTTTAATATCAAGCATGTCCCTCTCTTTACTGTCTCATTAATTCACGTTTCTTTATTAATAACGCTAACTGTGCGTTCACACCGCCGCCGTCGAGAGCATCAAAAATCGCTCTGGCCGCCCTGCCAACAACGCTGTAGAAAGATTCGTGGATGCTCTGACGTAGATCGAATGCTTATCTTGTATTTAAAAGGGGTCGCAAAGCAAACACACTTGTTGATCTTGTGCAGACTGACCACAAGGAGGGTGATGTTATAAGTTAACCTCATTAAATATTGTTGTGGATGAAGTATTAAGATCCTTTACCTCATAATGTATAAAGCACTAATACCACACTGTAAAAATACTCTGATACACGTAAAAGTCCTGCATTGAAAATGTTACTTAAGTATAATCAGGGAAATTGATTTAAAGGTTTAAAAGTGAACTTGGGACTATTATACTATTATTTATTATATCATTAGATTATTATTCCTATAACGTTAATGCACATCAGCAACTCACCAGGAACACCAACAATCTCAGACAACTTGGTCCACGCCTCTTTTTTTATTTTATTTATGACGTGTACCTGTATGCAAACAGGGACACGTCATAGATTATTGGGAAACCCGCCACAGCAATAATCAACCTCTCCTACATTTAGCTTGGGCACTAATGTGGTCGGAACAGTGGCGTAACTTAGTAATGACGGGCCCCAGTGCAGGCTATTACAACGGGCCCCCTGGGGTGCACGGTTATAAAGCACATACAAACACACAGCGCTCGTGTCTAGAAGGGAACCCATATAAGCACATTTTTGCCAACTAAAAATTAGACCAACTAAAATCAGTATCTTATCAGTTTCTTATATTAAATTGAACATCGAAACTCAATTTGAAACTCTTTGCGTGCGTCTCTCTCTAACACACACGGCTGTGCGGCTGTGCGTGTGCTTGGACGCAGCAGCCAGAAGTAGGCTACCAAATTAATCGTGTTGAATTTTACAGCCATCAGCATGTTACCTATTGTATTTGCAAAGCACAGAAGGCAAAAGGTTATCAGAAGCATTGAGTGTTTCAGTGCTGTGGTGCTGAAATTACCTCAAACTTTTTTTTTTAGCACAGTAATCGTGGCAACCGCATTCCTCTCCGAAAAGCAAGAGACTAGATAAGAAAGAGGTCTAAAAATTATTAACACCATGTCCCGAATCATGGCCAACTTTAGCTGCAACAACCACACACAAATGTAATACACAAGCACATACACACAGTGGCGCCTGCAGGTGTAGGCTACGGCTGAACGCACTGTGTGTAGCACGAGCGCTCCGAATGACCTGAGATCTGCACCGCAAACATTTCAGCAAGCAGTAAATTATAAGCCTGTGTGTCCCGTATTTCTGTCGACTGAACCAGCCATGCCATTAATTACGAATTTAATTTCAATTTCTGCGTATAAACATTACGTCAAATAGAAACAGAAAATCGTGCTATACGCACTTTCATGAGATCGGGTTAGCCTACAACAATTAATTTGTAGTCTATTTTACAAATGGGAATACAACGAATTCATGACACTGTTTTACATTCAAGCTACCCGTAAAATTTTAGTGTAACATTCTTTAAAATCATCTGGAATGCAATAAAGTAATTTGTAAAGCTGTTTTTAAAACATTTGCTGCATGGATTAAAAAAAATAGGGCAATAAATAATTCACATATCAGACAAAATTGCGTTGCAGCAAATCCTTTACATTTTAAGGTATTCAAAGCAGAGCAACATAAAAATCTGAAAAAATATAATCGGCCTGTTTAAGGCTTTTCCTTGTTTTTATTGTTTAGATGGTGATGAAAAAATGACTCTCCATCTCCTCATTGGACGTGCCTTTAGAGAGAAATGCATCTTTACGGATTACATAATGAAAGAGTTTTTGTTTTCGATTTGAATTATTTCGTTTTAAAGTAGTAATGTAAAGCTTTCTTCTATAGATATATTTATCAAATCTGTGACTTAATTTGTTGAATTTCGGTTCATCCTTGTGAGGCGCTCCTGTTCAAGACAAGATGGCAAGCGCATTCTCTGTTTTCCTATTTATTTTATAAAAGCCCAACGTTTTATTGATATTGTGAATGCACAGAAATTAAAGTAGACCATTTACATTTCCGAATGTATTACTCTTACCTTTATGAGCAAAAATTACAGCATATTTTAAGTTGTTTCCACTGTTAGAAAAAAAAATCAGAAAGTGAGTGATCGCGCTGGCGCCTCCGTGTCCTGCAAAGTGCATTCAGCTTCACCAACATTAGCTAGCAATAGCCTATACACTAACATTAGCTAGCTTGCTCTTAAGGCTAGACTACCTGCTACATGAAGACAGCGGTGTAACGTTAGTTGGTGAAGCATGCTGATCCAATGTACACATATTGCTGCTGGGAGGGCACTGGGAAGTAGTAAAAAATCCGAAATAATCTAATTTTGGCAGCTTTGCTGTCTTCTCCTCCTGATGTTTTCTCTCCTGTCTCTTCTTACAACCACTTTTATGTTTGAATGGCATGCTCGGCTAATCTGTTTACTCATTTAAACTAGCCGCCGGAGTGTTATCTTGTCACATGATCAAATAGAGATTTAAGATTGGACTGTGATGACCCGTTTCCACAGTTGTCAACATCACAGATCTAGTGATTTTTAAATATCTTCATTTAAAAAAAAAAAAAAAACACATTTATAATGCTCTACTTTGTCTTATATTACCTTGACAGTAAATGACAAAAAAAGAATTAGCGCTGCTGCTAGGGTGTTTCTATACAACGGCTGAGGTAGTGACGGCAAATTTGACGTCAATCTCAATATTTTTCTCCTCTTTTGGAAAGTCGCGGGAAATTACATATAACAAATAAAACAAGACTATTCATTCTGTGTTATATTTTTATGTACGGGTGGGACATGTGTCCCCACGACTCCCCACCACGTTTTGCAACATCTCGCAGCATGCATGGATGTACCTAAAGAAACCTCTCCATTTGATAACAGATTCGTTGGTCTGTGTTAAACAACAGGCGATCTATCGCTGGACTGTGTTATAACGAGCGCTCGTTGCTGCTGTTATCGGTTCTCTCTTGCACTCGTGCACAATGCGCACACAGACGATCGTACGCTTTGTTCTGGTAAAAGCACAAAACAAAATGCACACAAACATGTCCTTGCTCTTGATATACAATCACTGATGAACATATAATCCAATAAACTTCTGGTTCAGGCGCATCCATATACAATTTTAATTTACTAAAGAATACCTGGAAGGCATGACATGACCTGAAAGGTGATTAAAAAATATTCCAGGCAGCTCCAGGAAAACACCATTTCATTAAATGCATTGGAGAGTACTTTGCATTGAAAGTAACAAACTCAAACCCCTTAATAAGTTACAATATGTTTTTATTTATCTTAATTAAACCATCAACAACATAACGCAATGTATTCAAATCTGTTATCTTTTTCATTTTAATAGAAATTACTAACTTACATTCCTTGAAATCATTTAAATAGCATGTTTCAAGAAAAATTATCATGTTGTCCTGTATCTTTCACCAAACAAACTAAAATAATCATAGTAATGTAAAAATGGTACCTGGTAAAAGCATAGTAATTATGTTAGAAGATCATCCACATTAACTCTGACAATCAACATCACATCTGATCATTCTGCCAGACATTCAAAAGCCTGGGTTAAGGGAAATATTTGCTGAAATCAATGTCATGGTTTTAAAAAAAGAGTTTAAATCACATTTGGAAGTTTCCTTCATTTTTTTTGTTTATCTATTCTAAAAAAAATAACCCCAGTAATCAGATGTTTATTTCATTGTATTTTGAACAGTATATTTTCCTTTTATTGGCATTTGTGTTGGTCTATAACTTAAAAATCAAGGTCAAATGCAAAATACAAAACAAGAATAATACATACAATAATGCCAATAATGCCAATTATGCCAATTAAACCAAACTTAAAGGGTATATGTTTTCTTCTGCTCACAGTTGTCTCTGGCAAGAAGCTGTTATGTTGTGGTCTTGCCTCATCATTATCTAAATCTGACTCGTGTGCAGTTTCAGGGGGCTCAGGGTTCATTATTTGTCTTTCTAGACTTGCTTCTGTCTCAGTGTCAGAATCAGGGGTTAGGGTTAGGTTTATGCAGGTCTGACCGCTGGTCCTGTTATTGTGTTCACCTTTCAAGGGCTTTTTATGACCATCTTTTGGCCAAGCGTTTGCTCTTTTTGTACATTGCTCTGGACTTTCTGAGTGACTGACCTTTGAGAAAGTGCTCCTTGTAATTCCTAAATCTGAAAAAAAGAAACAAGAATAACAATAAAGCAAGACTTTTTGACTGTTCACAGAAAATAAGACATGAGCAATGCTCTTCATTAGTTATGCATGATGCTTTGAACATTTGAAGTCCTGATACAAGTCATGTGAAAATGTCTTAATTTGAACTGTTTATTTTAATCAGGTCAAAGCAAACATGATTTAAGAGCTGTTGTAATGCTATTTAATATAACACTTTTAACACCCTTTAATCTGATTGGACTGTAGTGTTCTAAGTGTGCCGATATACAGTATAACTGCAGTCTCACTCTTGTATCAAATCATGATACATTGAGCTATATAGCTGATTCACAGAAATGATTATATTCACTACAGCAACAAAATCACATATTGATGATCAGACTCCTTAACACTGATTAAATGAAATATTTAACAGATTTGCTTTAATATACAAAGCTTAAGTTTTGTTTTGTTTTTATTATAATTGTAAATATTACAAGAATGTACTTAATACAAGAAGGAGAAATGAGAATGCTGAATTCTTGGTCATGAATTGAGAATGTATGGAAACAAACCTCGTCTTTCTGCTGGAGACGGATGATTATACTCTTTAGGATGCTCGTCTATTATTGGTTTAGTGTCACGTGTTTCACTCACTACTATCTCTTGAGGAAGGATTTCAGACGTAATAACAGACTTATCATTGGCTTCTGCTGCACTTGAAGAAGCATCTGGGAAGGGTTGATGGTCAAGATCTGCATCAGGTGGCTTCATTTCTATATCTGCTGTCTCAGTTTGTGAGGGCTTTGCTTCATTCTCAGTGTCAGAATCACTGGTGTTCAGAGGAGCTGTCAGATCTTGCTCAATGCTCACTGTAAAGTCATGATTGTTTTCAGTGTTATTACTGATGTGATCAGTGTGCAGATGTGGCTGAATGACAGAGTCTTCAGGGTTGCTGGTCGTGTTATTCTGAACACTTTTAGATTGGTCTGATCTCATGACTATCTTTTCTTCCTGAGCATTTGCTTTATGTCCATTTTGTTTTGCAGCTGAAAACAAATGAGAATAAAAAGAACAGAAGCTTAAAGAGGTTATCAGTAAGAGTATATGCTTCTGCTGCAGCCAGTTATAGATACTTTTCCATGGCACCCTCTTTTACAAAATCCAAGAAGTGTCCAAGAAGAAGCTTGATTGGTTCCTGCTGACTAATTACTATTACACCTGGATTGAACACCTGCGGTTCTATAAAAAAAAATCCTGTCATCACTTTTCTCTTCAGACTTGTTCATTTCCTTTTGATCTCCATCTTGTTAATTAGTATTTGGAGTTTATTAGTGATTCTGAATGTTCTGAGAGTGTTTTGTCTGATTTCTGGAGTGTTTGTTTGAGAAGAGAGTTTGTGTGCTTGATCTACTGCCTGTTTACTGACCGTTTGTAATCCTCCCCAATACTGATCTTTTGTTTATTACTTGTCAGTTTCCAATGTTAAAATCCCAACTTGTATTACTGTTTACACTATAGCAGTTATAAAGACAGCCTTCATGCTTTCAATGTGGAACTAGCCACAGTTAGACAGACCTTCTTCCCAAACCTTTACGCTGAGTGGATTGAATGCGCGGCGGCACAGATATGCGAGCTTGTCGAGTGAATATCCCTTTCTCACAGACATAAAGTTTGTAGTTCGGTCGGATATTTCAAAAGCAAGTAAGTAAAATGCACAAGTTACTAAAGTTATCTGACAGTAAGGAGAGAGAGAGAGCGAGAGAGAGAGAGTCTGAGAGCGCGCACTTCTGTTGCCACGCGTTGCGCGTGTTTTGTTTGCTTCGTGGGTGTTTCTGCATTATATGAGTGGCCTTGGAAAATAAATCGCTGCACGTTTCAGATGAAAAAAATACGACTTCTATTTATGAAAATATCACAGTTAGGAGATTTATAGCGAGTGGGAATTGTTTGAACATCAATGATAAACTTGCTAATCCTGATTGTCTCTGTCCTAGATGCATGTTCAAGTATACATGGATCTTAAAACCACTCTGGACTGGGTGGTTGCAAATATCTACATCCAGTTAAAGAACTCAGAGCTTCTTTTGTAATGTACTGTAATGTAAAGCACATACTAATGAACTTTAATGCTGATAATTTAAGAACATGTTAAGATATTAATGAGCATGCACATAACAGAACGCCCTCTGAAAGTTTAATTTAAATCAAGAGCTCCTGTCATTATCATGATAAACATGCTTCTGCATGTAATTCTGATGTTAAACTGACCAAATAATCTTGAAAAGCATGTCTGAAACATTGTACACAACAATAAACATATACTTCAGGGAAAAATGTTCCCCAGTCTTTTGTTTCAGTCTTTGTTCATCAGAAAAAGAAAGTATTAATGGTAATAGCTGCCTTTTAAAAACTAAACCTGCAAGTTTATCCAAGATCTTGCCGGAAATAAATGAATCAGCACTCTGGAACATATTTTAAATAGTTTAGAAAAGTATTTCCAAATATGAAGTTTAGTCTGGAATTACTTGGTTTAGAAGGCCTGTGATCTATCTAGATAGTAATGAAATTAAATTGCCAGTCAGATTATATTTCATATAATCTAATAAAGTTATGGTTCAGGCTCATGTTGGATTAATCCATAAAGTATGGCTCGAAGGCAGCAGCAGCAGCAGTTTAAAAGAAGTTGTAAAAACTGAAATAAAATCCCCATGATGTGCAAGTGACCTGTGAGCTTGTTGTGCAGCATTTCTATCTCAGTCACCACTAACGCTAGGCATATGGTCTGAACTGTGGCTTACAGGGACCCTGTTTCATGTCTGACCTGCATGGTCACATCCCAATCTCTCTGCCCGCTGTCCTATAAAAAGTAAATATACAAAATAAAATGTAAACAATTGAGATAGAATTACAACATTGTTCACTCTCTTCTATAATTGTTTTTCTTCTGAGAATGTTCCCCAAAAGACTTTCTTTGTTTTAGAAACATATGCAAGCATTTTTAGCCATTTTGTCTTTGAAGAAACAGCTACAGTGGGTCTGAAACACACACACACACACACACACACACACTGAGGACATTGCATTTATTTTGCTTTTATATAGAGCTAGTTATAAAACTATATTAACCCAAACACTAATCCTAACAGAAAAGTTTTCTTTTTACAAATGAAGATTTCCCTGAAAGTAGATTACATCTGGTTAGTACCTCACTAATACTGCTGTGAATCCGTTTACTCAGGGCTGATGTTCCCAGACTGGATGGTATTTTTTCTGATCCATGTCATATAATCTCATCTGAAAAGCCATTTCACAGTACACAACATTTTCCTCAGGGGATTTAGGGGAAATTCTGCGGTCTTTTGTTTCAGTTTCTGTTTCTCAGAAGAGAAAGTGTGGTAATCACTGCTTATTTCACACTAAACCTGATCACAGTTTCTGGTGAAACAAATGAGTCTGCATTCTGTACATGTAGGAATGTAGGACATACACACCCTGTTTATTCATGTTTTAAATTGTTTCGTTTTCTCCAACAAGAGACTCTTCTTGGAAATCAGACGTTTCTTTAGGCAAAAACAGCTTCCCTTTCCTGTTCTATTGCAAAGAGAAAACCTCTGCTCAGAGTTTGTTGATCCATGTTGATTACACTAAATAATTTAAGATTTGTATGTCCATGCATACCAATTAACAATTTGCTACATTTTAAGGAATTATAAAAGCCATAAGCGGTACTAAATAAAAAGCCATTTGAGAACTGAAAGAGTCATTGCTGAGTAAATGATTTAGCTCCCACAAAGAACCAGAATATCCATCACTAGTAATAGAAGGACTAATTAAAAAATAAAAATGAACTGAACCACTTGATATCACTACTTTGCGAAACTTGGAATGACATGAAAACGTGATCTGTGAAGGTTTTTTCAGTTTGATGAAATTACATCTCCATGTCTGTGACCATCATGGCACCTGCAGTGTTCATCAAGCTTTGATAATCCAAAAATAAGTTAACTTTGCCTCATCATCTTAGAACAACATTGTACACCACTGCCGTTTACCATGTTGCTGGTTTTCCCTATACACTTTTACTGATTATAGCAATATAACCGGTCAGTCCTTGGAGGCCATTGTCGTTGTTATCAGCATTATCAGGTTATTTTTGCTTTATTGCTAAATGATAAGAGACAACACAGGGATGGAGTAAGATGTGCTGTTGCAAGTAATCGCATGCTGTAAAGTATTATAGGACACACCCTGTACAAACACACTTTCACTTTCTGCAAAAGGAAAACCTTCTTTAAATCATGTGACTCTAAAAGCAAATCCGCTCTGTTTTTGTTACAGTACATCTTTACCGCAAAGAGAAGAAGAAATTAATATGGTGTAGAAGGCCTGTGAACCATCCATTCAGCCTATAGTTCATATAATCCAATAAACTTCTGGTTCAGGCTCATCCATAGACATATTTTAATTTACTAAAGAATATATGAAAGGCATGACATGACCTGAAACCTGATTACAATTTCAGGCAGCTCCAGGAAAACACCATTTCATTAAATGCATTGGAAAGTACTTTGCACTGAAAGTAACACACTCAAACCGCTTAATAGGGTACACTATTTTTTATTAATCTTAATTAAACCACCAACAACATAATGCAATGTATTAAAAACTGTTATCTCTTTTATTTTAATAGAAATTACTAATTTACTTCCCTTTAAATACTTAGACAGCTTCATAGCATCCTTCAAGAAAAAGTATCATGTTGTAATGTATCTTTCAACCAACAAACAAAAATCAATCAAAAAAAAAATCATAATAATGTAAAAATGGTACGTGGTAAAAGCACGGTAATTCTGTTAGCAGACCATTCACATTAACTCTGACAATCAACATCACACCTGATCATTCTGCCAGACATTCAAAAGCCTGGGTTAAGGGAAATCTTCACTGAAATCAATGTCATGGTTTAAAAAAGAGTTTAAATCACATTTGGAAGTTTCCTTCATTCTTTTGTTTACCTATTCTAAAAGAAAATTACCCCAGCAATCAGATGTTTATTTCATTGTATTTTCAACAGTATATATTCCTTTTATTGGCATTTGTGTTGGTCTATAACTTAAAAATCAAGGTCAAATGCAAAATACAAAACAAGAATAATACATACAATAATGCCAATAATGCCAATTATGCCAATTAAACCAAACTTAAAGGGTATATGTTTTCTTCTGCTCACAGTTGTCTCTGGCAAGAAGCTGTTATGTTGTGGTCTTGCCTCATCATTATCTAAATCTGACTCGTGTGCAGTTTCAGGGGGCTCAGGGTTCATTATTTGTCTTTCTAGACTTGCTTCTGTCTCAGTGTCAGAATCAGGGGTTAGGGTTAGGTTTATGCAGGTCTGACCGCTGGTCCTGTTATTGTGTTCACCTTTCAAGGGCTTTTTATGACCATCTTTTGGCCAAGCGTTTGCTCTTTTTGTACATTGCTCTGGACTTTCTGAGTGACTGACCTTTGAGAAAGTGCTCCTTGTAATTCCCAAATCTGAAAAAAAGAAACAAGAATAACAATAAAGCAAGACTTTTTGACTGTTCACAGAAAATAAGACATGAGCAATGCTCTTCATTAGTTATGCATGATGCTTTGAACATTTGAAGTCCTGATACAAGTCATGTGAAAATGTCTTAATTTGAACTGTTTATTTTAATCAGGTCAAAGCAAACATGATTTAAGAGCTGTTGTAATGCTATTTAATATAACATTTTTAACACCCTTTAATCTGATTGGACTGTAGTGTTCTAAGTGTGCCGATATACAGTATAACTGCAGTCTCACTCTTGTATCAAATCATGATACATTGAGCTATATAGCTGATTCACAGAAATGATTATATTCACTACAGCAACAAAATCACATATTGATGATCAGACTCCTTAACACTGATTAAATGAAATATTTAACAGATTTGCTTTAATATACAAAGCTTAAGTTTTGTTTTGTTTTTATTATAATTGTAAATATTACAAGAATGTACTTAATACAAGAAGGAGAAATGAGAATGCTGAATTCTTGGTCATGAATTGAGAATGTATGGAAACAAACCTCGTCTTTCTGCTGGAGACGGATGATTATACTCTTTAGGATGCTCGTCTATTATTGGTTTAGTGTCACGTGTTTCACTCACTACTATCTCTTGAGGAAGGATTTCAGACGTAATAACAGACTTATTATTGGCTTCTGCTGCACTTGAAGAAGCATCTGGGAAGGGTTGATGGTCAAGATCTGCATCAGGTGGCTTCATTTCTATATCTGCTGTCTCAGTTTGTGAGGGCTTTGCTTCATTCTCAGTGTCAGAATCACTGGTGTTCAGAGGAGCTGTCAGATCTTGCTCAATGCTCACTGTAAAGTCATGATTGTTTTTTTTAGGCAAGTCCTGATGATTTGAGAAGGCTAAATTGACTGAACATAGGCTATAGACTATGATCAATTCACTGTCTGCCGCTTAAAAAAACAAAACAATTAAATTTAACGAACAAAAAATACTCCAAATGTTTTTCTAAATTTACTTTATAAAAAAACGAAACGAAATATAATCACTTTTCCATTACATACAAATCTGAACTATTTTAATAGCTTAAACAGTAGTATAAGCTTTTTTTGGGAAAAGGGGAAAAAAGACGGGCTAGGGCCTATATTTGAGACCCGTGCAGGGCTTTAATCCACTTCATCCAACGCTGTTTTGTTCTCATCTGTGAGCATGCTCTTGTTATATGTATTTTAGGTGTGTAAATGTATAATTGCCTTTTCAATATTTTTTCAGTTTTATAGTTAAAACAACTAAAAATAAATGTATTTTAAAGTTTAGCCTTTGTACACAGGCTTACGCTGAAAACAACAAAATGGAACCTCAAGGTTGATCTAGGAAAATGTGTGCAAATGTATAGAAAGGGAGAGGTTATTATGTGAGTAATAGGAGAGCATAAGTTTAAGTGGACGTCCATGACATGCGGAGTCCCACAAGGCTCAATTCTTGCACCGCTATTGTTTAGCCTGTATATGCTCCCACTAAGTCAAATAATGAGAAAGAACCAAATTGCCTATCACAGCTATGCTGATGATACCCAGATTTAC